TTTTAGGGCATTGTTTGTGTAAAATATGCACTATAAATAAAACTGTTTTGTCTTAGAGAAGACTGAAACCTTCCCTTGCTGCAGGTACTGTTTAACTTTATGCTGTGATGTAAATCTGGTTAAAATCAGACATTTAGTTCAGCAGGAAACATACCATTACCCAAAAAAGTGTAAGATGGCTAAGTGAGTGTGTAAACTCCTGTATATGGAGGTGATCTGTGAAACTAGACACTTTCATGCTTGTTACTCATCGGGTTTACTTCTACACATGCTGGCAAGGATGATGTCACACACACTGGCTAATTGGCTATTAATCAAGGCAGTTTCTGCGCCACAGTGAAAGAATGTCTGGTGACACACCGAAAACTGTAGATTTCCAAGCAAGTTACCCAAAAATACTTTAACTGGAAGTGTTTCTCTGTCTTTGTAAATAGCACTTGGACATTGTGCCAAATGAAATGAGCAATCAGTGAGTAGGATCACAGAGTGAAGGAGAAGAAGGAGGTCTTGTAAAATAAAGGAGAAATCTCCATACCAAACAAGAGAAACACTATAAAATGAGAAGAAGAAAAAATACTGAATAAATAAAAGGCATGAGCAAAAAGATGTTAAAAAGCAGTTAGTGTTTTAGTGTCATCTAAGACTGATCCACAAATAGAAAACAGATATTTTTAGAAATGTCTAGAGGGGGGTGGCGGGGGAGGCGGGGGGGGTGGTGGCGGAGGCGGGGGAGCTGCTGCTGGAATTGTTGACGTTGGTCCGTTTGACACTGGGAGAGGGGTAAGAAAAACAGTTCAGGCTGACCCGCTGTTATCAGCTCGGTTTTCTCCAACTAATAATTCTGAGCTAATGTTAAACTTACGTGTGCCGTTCATCGGAAGCGGCGGGGGCGGAGGAGGCGGTGGAGGTGGAACAGGTGTGCCCGCCGTAAGTGCAACATGGTTTGGACTGACGGCTACACCGTTTCCGCCGATCACGGAGCCCGGCGAGCCCTCCGTAGCGGAGGGCGGCGACGTTAGGATTGAGATGTCTCCGTCTCCTTTCTTGTGGATCTTGATGGTGCCCTGCTTCTCCAGCTCGTGGATCTTCTTCTCGAGTTTACTTTGTCGCTGGATGGCCTCGTCCTTCTCCTTCAGCATCTGTCGCAGCGAGTGCACCTGCGAGCTGGCATCTTTATAGACTTCCTGTGTGGTACAGGGAAACAGAAAAAAGGAACATATGAGAAGAACAGAAAAATACGTGTGGCGATATTTTACATTTTCTCTACCATTAGCTTAACTAGCTATCACCAAGTTGAAGAACTGATGTCAAGGTAGAGAAAGCGGCTCTGACCCTGATGGATTCCAGCTCCTTGTTCCTTTGCATCAGCTGCTTCTCCAGCTCTACAATTTTGGCCATGGCCTCATTCTCCATGTCCTGCAGCTTCTCTGTCATCTATGGGAACAGTATCAGGAAGAAAAGATTGCAGAGTGATGTGAACTAACTGAAGAGACACCATTCGAATCAACATGTTAGCACAGAAATATACTGAGGCACTACGAGGGTTTCATATTTTCATGTATCTGGATTAAAAATGATCTGTCAGGGCCTAAAAGTTCTGCATTTTTCAAAAAAACCCCAAAACTTTGCACCATATCAAGTTGCTATTCCATCAACTTCCTATTGTTAATATTCAGACTGCTGCAAGAGAAATAAGATCAAAACGGCAACTTCGCCTCAAGTCAAAGAGTACAACCAACACTAGAGGGTTCTCACATGTGATATGTTCTCCTCCAGCTCCTCCACCCGCTCCAGGGCAGCATTTTTGGTCTCCGCATCCTCCAGCAGCGCTCCCACATCAAACACATTATCCAAGTAAGCCTGGATCTGGACCTGCAGCTTATCACTCTCTGTGTGCTTTAGTTTCTGCAGAGCAGATACAACAAGTTAGGGAAGAGGAGCTGTAGTTTGATTTCAGCTCACAGCATTGGGATAACATCGATCTTTCTGCAGAAAGTCAGGAGACAAAGAACTACAAAGCTGACCACTGTTTCTGAAGTAATGGAAAAGCCATTATTGACAGTGGTTGCTGTCTCAGGGGCACTGTAATGACAGCCTATCCTCTGGACTGTGAGTGTTCAGAAGAATGTCTGTCTAGCCATTTTCCTGCAGCACTATGTCTCAACTCACATCTAAGTAGTCGTCCAAACACAGCTTGGTGAAGTCGTACTGTAGATGAACCCTGAAGTTCATGTCCTCCACTGAGTGCACGACGATGTTGATGAACTGCATGCACGCCACCTGGGGAATGGCAGGTAGGAACGGTTAGCAAGAGAGAGAGTTCACTGCATATGCATTTTCTATATTACACTGTTTATAGGACTGTAAAACACCTTTATAGATCAGTGTGCAACAAATTTGTGTTTTTATACAGCAGTTTGCTACTTCCACGATTTGGTTTTTATGCTCATATATAATATATGTTGCCTTTTATTATGTCTCGGGTATATAAATCCTTATTATTTTGCTTGCTTAGCTGGCAGGGTAGCTTATCTGGCAGATTAAAAGGATCTGAAAAAACAAATGAACAAAAGCTGCCAGTTCAACACTACTATGGGAGCTTGCATAAACAGATCAAGGGGGATCTACTCACAGTTTCTAATGCACACACGCGCGCTTCCCAA